ACAAAAAAAAAAAGGTCCTTTCAGAAATCAATGCCATCTGCCTAATGTAGGCTGTATCTATTTTCCCTTGTAGCAGGCAGCGTCCTATCTGACTGAAAGGTGGCGGGTGAAAACAAAACTTCCTTCAGGCCTGAGATCACTAAAACATAAACCATGCCCCAAAGGTATTTTTGCTTTATTTTGCACAAAAACATGACCTTTCCACAGGCTGTCCTAAATTATTTTTGGCTAATTAAAGGACTTTGTCTTTTGTGGTTACAATACTACAAAAATAGGAAAACTCAGATGTTTATATTCGTAAGTAAGAAATATATTTTTTTCAAAACCTCCCAAGAACTCAGTTCTGTGAATACCACACACAGACGCTCTAAAAGAATGCTCCTTAACTTGCTTTATCCTTACTACCACCAGCCTCTGCCAACAAGATCATCATTTAAAATGGGCTTGGCTGCAATAGAGATATCATTTTCAGAATGATTTATATTAATATTTTGTAGCAGTAGGAGTTGGAATGGTGTGCTGACATTATTCTTCCAACTGCTGAGACAGTTTTGCTTGAGAGCTTGTATTTCCTAGGCCACACTTTCTGTGGTTTATGCTTACCCGAACTGCAAATCACAGTGACCTTTTCTTATAGGCTAATGGAGGGCATTGAGTATTTGAACAGAACATGAAAACTTAACTAGTGGATGAACTAACAAGTTTCTTTAAGGACTTAGAAACAAAAACAAATGTCTTTAATACCACCACTGAGTTATAATGCAATGACCCGTGGCGCTATGGTATGATTGTCAAAGATGCCACGGATCTCACAAGCGGGAGGCTATTTAATCTGTAGACTGTCTACAAGAGCCAGCGAGTTCTAGATCCTTTTTCATGGATCAACAGAGAGAAGCACCACAGCCTGACTTGCTAATGTTTTGCTGTTCTATTTCCGTAATTCGACAGGATCATAAGCCTTGGCAATGTTATCAATTCACCCAACTGAATGATTCTCAAGGTGAGACGTTGCTGTATCATTTAAGGGAGGCTTTACGACAAGCACACAACACGACACTCCCTCCTCTACTCCCTACCGCGCGCGTCCTCACACACCTCTGTGAGGATGTCTGTCCCGATACTGCTGCTCACTGGGGTGAAGCAGATTGAGGGGAAGGTGCTTTTAAGGAAGCAGCACTGTACTTATCAAAAATTCCCTAAGTAATTCTGACACGACTGCAGGAGTCTTCCACTTAAAAATCTCTGTGACCTAATATATTTTCTCCTTTTGTGCAAAGTTACAACTCAAACAGGCCAAGAAGAAATAGAGTAAGCAAGTATTCAGAAAAGTGTACAATTCATTCTTTGTGGACCTGTTTCAAGCTTCATAAGGGTTACTGTGTGAGAGGTACTGTTTTCAACTTAGAAAGCTCCATGGCTTTTCCTGATGTTACTGATATATTCAGGATGAAATGTGGAGAAATTTTAACTTTCTATAAAGCCCTGTGTATGTATATGCCTGTATACTTTTTTACTACAGTTTGGAATATAAGGTATTAAGACCTCATTAGTAGTTTCTGTCTACTAGGAAGAGACCATTATTTGTCTTAGTTTTTCTAAAAGCTTAGAAGACTTTTTTTTTTGGTACTGGGAATCAAACTTGGGACCTCATGCTTGCCAGGCAGGTGCTTGTGCCGCTGAGCTATATCCCCAGCCCTCTAGAAGCTTATAGACACAAATGATTTCCTTGACCTCACTCCCATGGTACTAAACAGGTTCATTCTACGTTTATTAAAAGGATCAAGATGAAGAGAATAATCTTTTCCTTTCTTTCTGTCTTCACTCCCAGCTTCCCAGATTTTTCATTTGCTTGATATGTTTATATTTTAAATTGGGGTAAAAGGTACCTAACAAACTTACTGTTCTAACAACCTGTAAGTGCACGGCTCGGCCGCTGAGTGATCCCATACTGCTGTGCAGCTATGACCACCCTCCCCCTCTGCGACTGTTTTCCTCTTGCAGAAGTGAAGCGCTGTACCCGTTCCACAGTAACTTCCCTGCCCCAGCCTTGGGCTACAACCATTTTATTTTCTGTCTCTATGAATTTGACTACATTGAATATCTCATGTATGTGGAATTATATAATATTTATCCTTTTGTGTCTGGCTTACTTCTCTTACTAGTGTCTTTAAAGTTCATGCATGTTATAGCATGTCAGAATTTCCTTGTTTTTGGAGTGGGAAAGCCTTGAGATTCACAGGCAATTAAAATAAGAAGAATTTAAAGAATTGAACCTGTAAGAGACAGTGGTCTGTAGACACCATATCACAAAAGGAGTTAAGTCTCTAGAATAAAATGAGGAAGGAAATTGATTTTGTTAACATTATTACTAAATGCTGCGAACTTCACACTGTGACCATTTAAAAATACTCTACAATGTGAGGTTTAAGGCACAACGATTCCTAATTAGTGTTTTAATAAGTGTTTAGCGCTGCCTCGTACCATTCTGGAATGTCACTTACGGTAGGGGAAGGGACACTTTCCTTCCCTCTCCTCCATTAGTATTTTAATGCTAGGAGGTGGGAGAAAGCTGATCCATATTCAAGGGGAAAGGAAGGAAAACAATAACAAATTGGCATCTCTTCTGTGAATTGCCCCACAGGCCAAGCATTTTTATGTTCTTAATCATTATTAAATGACTTAACATGACACCCGGAGCCTGGCGAATGATTGCATCCTGACATGTGAACGAATTACAAATGAAATGAAAGATCAAGCCGTATTAGAGGACTGCCTCTGGGAAATGAAAATCTTTAATTCTCTTTTATTATTGACATTTATTTGGCTGCCATGAATAACAACATAGCAAAGAGATTCAACTATGCTTGTGCACTGAATAGCTTATCCCAGGGCTCCAAGCTGCATTAACATTTATCATGTTTGCTTTTGTAGCTGACACCACTGAACAGATTCTCTATCCATCTTGTATTTATCATGCATTGCAGATACAGCACATCCTCTAATTTAAGTTCATTTTCATGTGGTAGAAACAGCAAAGATTAGCCAGTGTCTTTGCTCAGATAAATTCCCGATCATAGGCATTCTTAGGAATGGCTTACTGGATTTAATACGGAGCAAAAATAAGTTCAGAGAGAAATTCAGTCACAAGATGGGCAGGCTAATTTTCAATTTCGGGAAAATCACGCAAATTCACGAGGAAGAAGATATCTGTATAATACATGTATCTGGAACAGAGAGAGCCTTAAAATGAATGTCTCCATAAAGAGCAACTTCAGAGCACTTTATGAATCTGAAGGTAATGACACTTCCTAGAGAAAGTCTGCATGTGTTTCACTTTTCTAAACTGTTCATTGCTGACAGAGGAGTAGGTCACACGTGACAGACAGACAGCAATCCAGACAGTTTATCAACGCAGTGATATCTTTTCATGGTTTGTTTCTTTTCTCTCACACAAATGAACAACATGGCTTTTCCTGCCACAATAAAAGATTATATACTACTTGGTGCCTTTGGTTACGTGATCCTCTTGGACTGGATTGTCTACCTTTCTTTAAATCCCTCCTACAATTCAAGGCTTAGGAAGGATATAAGTATATCTTGGGGAAGCCACTTATCATCTTTGAATAACGCTTGAAAAAGTTCACTTTTTTTTTTCTTTTTTTTTTTTTCCAGTACCGGGAATCGCACTCACGACATTGCGCTTGTCAGGCAGGCGCTGTGCTGCTGAGCTAAATCCCTGGCCCCTTTCATTTTTTTTCTTTTGAAACATACACAAGCGGACATAACAGCACAATCACCCTCCCATATGGCTACTGGCTGGTTTTAACAATTAACCCATGATCACTCTCATTTTATCGGTATACATGCTTTACTCACTAAATTATATTGAACTAAAGCCCTGAGTCTTGCCTTTGCCAATTTCACAAAGAGAAAATTGCACAGAATTGTTTGTAGGGTCCTTTGGTCCTCAAACTGAACAGTGGTTGAATCTCTGACTTTTTTCAGGTTTTAGTCCATCACTCCATACTCACTATAACATTTTGCTTCAAACTTTGATCTGCTCTTTGTGTGTCAATAATACATGTAGTTGATATCAATAAAGAAGTGTAATTATACTTTATATTCATGTTATGGGTATTCATTTTATTTCCTACTTAGATATTTTTTCTTTTTGAGATAGGGCCTTACTATATAGCGTAGGCTGGCCTTGAACTCCCAGCAATCCTCCTGCTTCAGCTTCCTGAGTGCTGGAATTATAGGAGTGCCAGGCTTCCTAATTAGATATTTAAGCTGAGTACTGATTACATGGGCAATAACTGTTACTGTTCAAGGTATATATTTTGGCTTTAAAAGTAGGTAGCATCATATTGACATTAATCATTTTAACCAACAACATGTTTTTTTCACTAGATGAAATTCCGATTTCTATGAGTGCTATAAAATGGACAGCTGAATAAAAACAGAAATGAGGTTTTGTTTTCTTAAAGGAAAATCTGAGGAACTAGCATTTCTGGATTTTATTTATTCATAATTGCATAAGTTTACTTTATTCTTCCCCTAGTATTTTATCAGTAAAATGTATTCTTTTGTTAAGGAAAGATATTTTTGGACTAACAAAATCTCCAAAATATTAAAGGAGAAAAACTTTATCCATATGGTTTTACTTGATTGAATTTTTAACAAATTATCATTTCTGAAAATGAAATTTTTTCCACTGAGATAGAGGATAGGAATATTTATTCTTATTATTCTTATTTTTGTCTTTTTGAGACAGGGTCTTGCTATGCAGTTCAGGCTGGCCTTGAACTTGCGGTGATCCTCCTGCCTCAGCCTCGCAAGTGCTAGGATTACACGCGTGCACCACCATGCCTGGCAAGAATATTTATTAAAATAAAAAACTATAAAGGCACACTGTTGTGAACACACTATAAGAGCCCAGCACTCTGCTGTCAGGGATAAGTCTCTGCAACCCCAGACTTGTGACACACTTCCCACAGTACCTGTCGCCATGATGGTGTCCTCTCTCCCTTGGGTGAAGATTACGATCCGGGGCCGCCCTGAGTTCACCTTTGGCAGGGCTTGCGTCTTTCGGGCTATCTCTTTAATGTCTTCAGTCTGTTAATAGAAAGGAGAAAAAATACTCATAACCAGTGGAATAAAACAAAACTTTATTAGGAGATTAGCAATTTTGCCCAGGATGGGACCTCAGTATCTATCAGAAGACATTTAAAAACAACTGAAACCAAAAAAACCCTACCAACCAACCAAACAAACAAAAAAAACAACTGAACCACACAGAGCAGTAAGCAAAACAGTACAATAACTTCCTAGGAACCCATCAGCAATTGTGAAGACTACATTTATGATGAATCGCATGCCGTCTCTGTCTTTACTTCCTTGCCTTTCATATTACTGTTAAATCTTAGACACTATATAATTACTATTTCTGAAAGGTAATGACTTAACTATGTAATATGATACAGTTAAAAAATTGATAATTTTTTTTTTTTCTTTTGGTCTTTTTGAGACAGGGTCTCGCTATGCAGTTCAGGCTGGCTTTGAGCTCACTTTGTAGCCCAGGCTGGTCTCAAACTTGCAAGGATCCTCCTGCCTCAGCCTCCCGAGTGCTGGGATTATAGACGTGTGCCATCATGCCTGGCTAATAATTCCTTAATATTGGCAAATGCCTTGTTACTTTTCAAACTTCCCATGAAAAAGAACTGTATTTAAAAAGAGAATTATTTATTTTAGAGGTTTACAGAGAAAAGTTGTACTAACTTTGGAAGTAACACAGTTGCTATAATGCAAAACTTTTCAGAGGACTGAATGAAAGAAAATGTTAACCCTTTCCTAAAGAATTAAGCAAAATGACCTTGATTCTATTTTTACTTTATTGCTTTTTTATTGGTACATTTTAGATTTACCTAATGATCACATCACCATAGGGAATTTGTTCCTGTACATGATACATCTTGCTGCTTCTTTTTTTCCCGTCCTCTCCCTTCAACCCTTTTCCTCTCCTTACTTACAAAAGCTTTGTTTACATTTTTTCCTTCTATTCTCATTATTTTTCTTGTCCAGAACTTTCCTGCCTCCCTTTCTCCTCCCCATTTGAGCATTTTCTTCCCATTTCCCAATATCAGTGATGCATTTTGGTCCTTAATTACACGTTCAGTTTCTCACACTAGAGAAACAATGTGGTATTTACACATTGTGCCTAATTTACTTCACTTAAGAGTATGGGCTCAAGGAGCATCCATTTAGCTAGAAATGTTTTAAGATTATCCTTCTTTATGGCAGACTAGTACTCCACTGTATTAAAAAAAACCCTACATCTTCTTTATCCATTAATTGGTTGATGGGCATCTGGCTGTTTCCAAGATTTAGCTATTAAAAACTGTGCCACTATATACATGGGTCTGCATATATCGCTATGGTATGATGCTTTAAATTCTTTCAGGAATATACCAAGAAGGGGAATACCTGGGTCCAACAGAACCTCTAGTTTTAGTTTTTTGCACAATCTCCACACTGATTTCCACAGTGGTTGCACCAGTCTACACTCTCTCCAACAGTGGAGAAGGGTTGCTTTTTCCCCACAGCCCCTCCAGCATTTGTTCTTGGTTTTCTTTTTTTTTTTTTTTTTGTTTTTTTTCTAGTACCGGGAACCGAACTCACGACCTTGCGCTTGCCAGGCAGGCGCTGTGCCGCTGAGCTAAATCTCCAGCCCCCTGTTCTTGGTTTTCTTGATGACAGCCATTCTTTCTGGAGTGAGTTGGAATCTCAGCATTGTGTTAATTTGCATCTCTCAAATGACCAGTGGTGTTGAACATTTTTTCATGTATTTATTGCCATTTCTACTTCTTCATCTGTGAAGTGTCTATTCGTTTCAGATGCTCATTTTTGGACTGGGTCTTTAAATTTGGGGGAGGGTCTGTTTTTTTCCCCCCAGTTCTTTATATATTCTAGATATTAATCCTCTGCCTGAAGCTCAGCTGGCTAAAATTTTTCCCCAAACTGTGGGTTGTGTCTTTATGCTCTGGGTGGTTTCTCTTGCTGTGCAAAAGCTTTTTAATAAGATGAGATCTCAGTTGTTTACACTTTGTGATAGTTCCTGTTATTGTGTGGTCGGAGTTTTAGTCATGAAGTCTTTGCCTATACTGATGCCTTCAAGAGTTCTACCCATTCTGTCTTCCAGCAGATTTAGTGTTTCTGTTTTTTTTTTTTTTGTCTTTTTGACTTTTTGAGGCAGGGTCTTGCTATGCAGTTCAGGCTGGCTTTGAGCTCACTTTGTAGACCAGGCTGGTGTGGAACTTGCGACAGTCCTCCTGCCTCAGCCTCCCTAGTGCTGGGATTACAGGCGAGCACCACCATGCCTGGCTAGTGTTTCTGTTTTAATATTTAGGTCTTTGGTCTATATCAATTTTAGTTTATTGCACAGTGAAAGATATGGGTCTAGTTTTAATCTTGAGTTAAAAACTGAAAGCTTTCACTCTAAAATCAGGAATAGGATGTCCACTATCACCACTCTTATTCAATATAGCTCTGGAAACTTTAGCCAGAGCAATTAAGAAGAGACAAGAGAAAGAAATAAAAGGAGTAAGGATAGGAAAGGAAGGAGTTAAGTTGTCATTATTTGCAGATGACATGATGCTGTACATGGAAGCCCCCAAAACTCCACCAAAAGACTTGTAGATTTGATTCCAAATTCAGTGGCATAGCTGATACAAAGGCAACATTCAAAAATCAACAGCATTCCTGTACACAAACAAACTCACTGAGAGAGAAATCAAGGAAACCACACCCTTCACTATAGCATCCAAAAAAAAGAAATACCTAGAAATCATCTGAGGGAAGTAAAAGACCTCTACACTGAAAAACTGCAGTGCTCTCTGAAAAAGGAGATTGAAGAGGATATCAGCAAATTGCAAGATATGCCTTGTTCTTGGGTAGGAAGAACCAATATAATGAAATGGCCATATCACCAAAATTACTACACAGATTTTATGCAATCTTTTTCGTTTTCTTTTCTTTTTTTTTTTTTTGATTTTTTCTGGTACCAGGAATCGACCTTTCGCTTGCCAGGCAAGCGCTGTGCTGCTGAGCTAAATCTCCAGCCCCTAAAGACTTTATGGGCTAGATTTTAAAGTGAGGGACATTTTGTTTTTCTTTCTTTCTTTCTTTTTTTTTTTTTTTTGATTTTTATGCAATCTTGATCGAAATTCCTGTAGCATATTTCACAGAATTAGAGAAAAGAACCCTAAAGTTCATTTGGTTCTAATACCATATAGGCCATTTTGCTTTACATTATAAGCCCTTGACTTAAAACTAACTATTGAGTTAAAGGCAGAGTTTCAAAACCATGTTTTCACCCATGGTAGATGACTTAGAAATCCTTGCCTGCATTCCGTGGGCCTCTGTGCAGTTTCAAACAGTTATGGAGAAACAAACACATACTAGATAGGAAAAAAATATGAGCATCATAAATGAAGGAAATATAGGAGAGGAAAATTTAGGTAAACAAAATGGAGAAGTCTTAATGGTGTCTTAGTTTGAAACAATATTAGAAAGTACGCCATTTGTTATTTACTTTTTTTTTTTTTGAGGGTCTTGCTTTGCAGTTTAGGCTGGCCTTGAACTCACTAGGAAGCCCAGACTGGGTTGGAACTTGTGGTAATCCTCCTGTCTCAGCCTCCCTCCCATGTGCTGGGATTACAGGGGTTTGCCACCATACCCAGTCAGTATGACACTTTTAAAGGTATGGTAATCTTCAGTGAAATGCCTGTTGTCACTAAATTTTCAGGAAATTCCAGATAATATATGAAGCTACCTCGCATGATGACTCCTGTTGGACTGTTGTTTCTGAAAAGACCAGGCACTTGTACGAAATACTGGTGACCTTTCAAACAGGATGACTATTTTGCTTTCAGTTGCTTATTTCTTATTTACAGTATTTTTGGGATTTGTAAATATTTCTTATTTACAGTATTTTTACAGGATCTCCCTCTGTAGACTAGGCTGGCCTTGAACTCATGGTGATCCTCCTGCCTCAGTCTCCTCAGTGCTGGGACTACAGGCACGCACCTCCACACCTGGCCCAGCTGCTTATTTCAGAACAGAACTAGGAGACTGAACTCTGTTGAGAAAAGAAATTCCCTAAAGTTTTGGAGACAGACTATTAGAAATGATTAGTAACAGCTGAAAGGACCCAAACTACTGCATAATAACAATGTCTTCACTCTGTTAAATAAATCTACACATTTATTTAATATGATTCATGTATATCATGTATAGTACCCCGCCTCCTTAGTAGAAATGTATTTTGCTATTATAGGAGTTTTGCCTGTGATCAAATATAGTTCATATTTAATAATGATAAGAGCCAAACAGATTCACTATCATCTTGGGAGCAGAGTCTTATGCATGTAATACATTTTTTTTTGTTTTGTTTTCTGCAGTACTGGGGATTGCAGCCAAGGCCTCCCTCGTGCTACCATTCTACCACTGAGCTGCCTCCCACACCTTAACATTCTGTCTGGAGACAAGGTTCTGCTAAGGTGCGTAGGCTAACCTGAAGTTCTGGGCTCAAGTGATTCTCCTGCCTCATCCTCCTGAGCAGCTGGGACTACAGGCATGTATTACTGTGCCTGGCTAGTGTTTTTTTTTGTTTTTTTAAAGGACATCTCTCTTCGAGGTGGTATAAAGAATAAATTACAAATACAATTCCACAGTTGTAATAAATTACAAATACAATTCCACAGTCCTATAGGGAGACAGAGTTAGTTATGGGAGTTTTGTAATTTAATCAAAGAAACTTAGATCTTAGAAACATGGCAATTCAAGATCGAAACTTTCCAAATAGGAAACACATCTTTCCAGATTCGTGTAAACTTTACTCTCTCTGCACTCACACCCACAGCAGATGCAGGATCGCCTACCGCTCCGGCAGGGAGCACTGCCAGCCGCACCTAACCTAAAGCTCTCACTGCGCCTTCCAGAATCATTGCATCCTCTCAGAGTGGATTCTCATCTAGTGTAGCAACTTTTCTCAGAACCTCAATTTTATCTTTCCAAACCTACATATTTCTTGTAGTTCTACAATATTTCCCCTTCTC